AATTAGGTAATAGCCAGTGGAGCTTTAGACACCATGTACTAACCCTATAAGATGAAACATCCTCATATCAGCTTCACAAGTCCCTGGTTCTAACATAATGCTTGCAATAAGTTTTCTGTGTATGCTGTAAGACCTACCCGCCTGATCCCTTGCAGTCCTAACTACATTTGTATTAGAGCAACACACAACACACAGTCTCAGCAGAGCTGTTGATCAATAAAATTGTACTCCTTAGAGGATGCCTGTGACATCTATAAACCTGTGAGTGTCAAAACAATGGCACAAAAAATTCTGTATTCCTACTGTCAGTGGGATGAAAGCTGTGCAATTAATGCCAGCCCAATGACACCACAAGGAGAAATAAAACAAACAGCTGGTGGTACTATGGTCCAGCACACCGCTCCTACAATCTAGTAACATTTTCAGTATAAAATACTGACTTGTGTTATGAGCAATATACCATAAATCTAGACAAAGAATTCAAAAATCTACAGTCCACAGTATTAATTGTATTAGATTTCACTTAAAAAGAGTAATAAAAATGCACGGATCCTCTTTCATATGGAAATTAAGCATGCACAAGAAGAGGACAGCCTTACATGTAGTGGCTGTTGATTACAGCACCATTATACATTCTTTCTAGAGCTCAGTGAACTTATTCACATCTAACTGAACTAGTAGCAAGCACTCCCTTTTTGCTCAACTTGGCTTTTTTGGAGATGTCTGTAAGTTTTTATTGCCCCAAATGTCCCATCACTGCAAGCACTGGTTCGGTTCTACCGGCAGTAACAACAATGGGAGTGACAGGGTTCCAGGCAGTTGCTGGCATTTTAAGCGTCATGATGTCCTACTCGGAGCAGGTCTACATGCTTAAAAGTCAGCAGCTGGAAGTGCCTTTTCTTGACTCAAGCGCCGATCTTTGCCACCACCAGTGGAGCTTAAACAGCATTAGCAACTGTGGAAAATATGGGGCAAAAAAGTGTAGTGTGAACAGGACCTGTAGAGAAGATTGGAATTTGTCTGCATATTGAAGAATGTCAACACTTATCTTAATAGCACCACAATAAACATGTAAGAAACTTATCTGTTAAAAACGTGTGCTTCAGCAAGAGAGAATATGATTTCTGTGAGGGATGGGAGCACATTACAACGGGTTTAGAAATACCCTGGTGTTTTTCAAAAACTCCTAAACTGAAGAATTATTCACCAGTAAACAGAATCTGCTTTGAAGGTCTTGTCTGCATACACCCTCTTTCTCTAAAATTTCCCACCATTTCTTCCACCAATCACCTCCACAGTGGTGACAACAGTGGAAGCACTAGTGTACACAATGCACCAGCAGCTATCATTTCAGTAGGTCTGATTGACCATGGTTAAACAACATGCTTTTTAAAACGCTAGTGGCAGCCTGTAACTTTGTCTACACTAGCAAACCCATCGCTTCCATCACCAGTGGAGTTGCACTAGTGGTAGTTATGGTAGCAAATCTGAGTAAAAATTAAAACCTAGTATAGACACTCCTTTCTTTGATAATGAAAGGACAGTGTGTATAGTGGCTAGCACTCAGAACTCCTGGTTTCATTCTGGGCTTTGCTGTGTTTTGTAATTATTTTTATTTCAATGGGTTTGGCCTCTGAGAACAAGCAAGCAGTTCCATCTAGCACTTTATAGCCATCAGGCGTCTTACCTCCCAGTCTCCTGGTCTAGCCATTAGATCACACTCCCTGCTTTCCAAGTCAGAATTGCGTCACTATTATTAAGTGACATGATAAGCATGCTGATTTTACTCAACTAGAGAAATATTAAAAAGTTCATATCCAATCGTGGGGACAACAATCGTACAATAAACTGAATCATTCCTTGCCATAGAATTGCCAGATATTTGACAGTCTCATAGCACTACCTCAATATAAAATTTTGGTTGTTTCTATTCCCCCATTCTGCTCAGTTTCAATTATACCCACAGCTGACAATATTGGTTTCACTTGAGTTCAGCAGTTAAATTATTTAATTCAAAATACCATATAAACGTACTCTATAGTTGGGTTTTTAAACACATTCTACAGCTACACAGAAAGGCTTAATTCCAGAGTGTATTTAGTCCATTTATGCAGATACAGTAAATACCACCAGATATTTGGCCTGAAGGGATAAACATCTATCACCATTAAAAAAAAAGGCAGATCATCTTAAAAAAAGCTCTAAGAGAAACTAGGCAGACCCAAATAATTCAAGCATAATGATTTGCAATGCAGAAGTTTAATTCTACTTTGCAAATTCAAAATGAACAGATAAATTATGGATTAAGGCATACAGTATTTTGTACAGGAAAACTGACAACCACTTCCCAGACATTTAGGTTTTTTTCCCAATCTCTTTACTAATTTCTTTCTAACTATTCAGAATGATTGTTTCACATCTCCCAGTGGTTGAGAGTTGGAGAGTGTGCCATGACATTCTAAAAGGCAAAGAAAATGGGCCATTTAAAAAAAGACGGGGGAGGGGAAGTCTTATACATAATGAACTGAAAAGCTATTCCATAGTTTTTTCTGTCCTGGACTCATATCACTATAGCATGAGGGTTCAAAGGGGAAATAACATCTAGATTTAGCTTGAATTCATAAAGTTGTGACTTTCATTATAGATGATTTAATTTAGATATCTGGGGCCTGATTCATCATTATGCTACTCCAGTTTTATGCAGCTGTAACCCCATTGATTTCAAGGGAGTTACACTGGCATAAATCTGGAGTAAAGCGGCGGCCAGTACGTCCCTCGGTCCCCCGTGTCGCTTTCAGCAGCTCCCATTGGTCTGGAGCAGCGAACCGCGGCCAGTGGGAGCTGCGATCGGCCGGATCTGCGGACGGGGCAGGTAAATGAACCAGCCCGGCCCGCCAGGGGCTTTCCCTACACAAGCGGCGTCCCAAGTTTGGGAAACACTGATCTAGTCTGACCTCATATAACAGGCCATAGAACTTCCCCAAAATAATTCCATTTGAACACCTTTTAGAAAAACATCCAATCTTGATTTTAAAATTGCCAATCGTGGAGAATTCACAACGACCCTTGATAAATTGTTCCAGTGGTTAATTACCCTCACTGTTAAAAATATACACCTTCTTTCCAGTCTGAATTTGTCTAGCTTCAACTTCCAGTCATTGGACTGTGTCATATCTTTATCCATTAGATTGAAAAGTGCTTTCTTAAATATTTTTCCCCACGTAGGAAATTACAGATTATGCTCTGTTTATTCCTTTGATGCCTTCTCTTTACATTTGAATGGAATTACTTAAGGAATAAGATACAGCACAATGCAATTAATGGTACCACCATGTGGCCTTTTGTGAACTGCAAATACGTAACCAGAGTGCATTAATGTCATTTTTTGCATTTGATTTCCTTTTTGTTTTGTTTTTTTTAATTTCCACATTACCATTTAAATGGTTGTATGTAAACACTTAAATTCAGACTTCATAGTGGTAATGGGGTGACCAATGGGACCGCGCACACTTTAGCTGTTGCTTGTCTGGAGAGCATTTTCTGCCACAGGACAGTACCATACCACTTACATGGTCATAGCTATATATTTGCAACAAAAATAGATAGAAAAGTTAACACCATCTCTGCCACAAAAATCTACTATCTTAAAGCACAAGGTAGTGGCCCAAATATGTGGTACCCATGGTTTGGTCTCACCTGTGACGATGGGACCATGATATGTTATAATCATATTCTAGCCCCAGGTGTTTAAATGTGGTTGGTTTTGTAAAATAAACAAGGCCTCTATTTTTCCTTTTAAAACAAAAGCCTAGAATTTGCAGAACATTGCATAATGCAGTACAAATCATGGAAACACTATGGAAGCATGGGCTACATGACATTTTTGGCACCTGCAATTATCTCCTGTCCCTGATGTTAATGCTGTTTTAGGAGAGGGTTTTTCAGTATTTCAATAAGACATTATCCCAACATTAGTGGCTGTCTTTGCTTTACTCAATGAACAAGCCAGGCAGTGATGTCAAAAAGGGACAAGGTTTTATTAAATGGCAAACCTCAACATCCCTGTGATGGCAGGAAGTGCCATCTGCAGGTGGTTAAACTGAGGCACAGTTCAGCTGATACACCACAGACGGCATGAATCTAATGTAGACTGTGGTTTGTACACTCATTTTAGAAAAGTGCACCATATACTGCATAGTCTGTGTTATGGCATAACTTAGAAAGAGGGTTTATACCCAACAGACTGTTATGGCTCTAACAATCTTAATAATGGACTGATTATTGACTCATTAAACCATAACAGCTTCTGCTGATCTAAAGGAAATACACAAGAGGGCATTGGGCTTTCCTTTAGTCCAGATTCAAACCACTTAGTTTACCCAGTATTAATCTACTTCAGAAGTTCCAGTTTAGGACACCCTACTTACATTTATGCAAAGCCCACAGAAAAGAATTCCTTGCACCCATGGGCATATTCAAGCCTATTCACTTGCCCATTTCTGCAACCTAATAACGAACTTATTAATTATTACCTAGAAGAGTGTATGTTCAAATACACCATTTCCTAGCATGGAGGGGGAAAAAAGATATGATGAGAAACAGAGGAGATTGAAATGAACTGATAAACATTAGGGCTCTTTTCCCTCACCTTCAAGGGGAGTTAAAAATCGAAATCAATATATTGATTTTTATGTATTTTCTGTTTATCTGTTTTGCCCACTATAACTCTGCCAGTTGCCCCAGGCAATCAACAAAGCTATGCTTGTTCAGCCTTTGATCATCTCGCTGCTATACGATTAGCATATGCATACTCTCATCCTCCCCTTTATCCTGTTAGTAAAGCTCCAAACTCCCTCCATGGATGTTCAAGAAAGCAATCTGCTCCCGAGCCCCTGTTGATTTGCCCCCATTCCCTCCTCTGCTCAGGACTTGGAATGCTAACTACTGTGTGCGAGTCGTGTAAGTGCTTATCCACTGGCCCTCCGAGGAGCAATTCTTACTTGTTTGATGCAGTCCACGTTTGACAGACGCTCCTGGATCAGATTGGCCCACAGTGCATTGGGAATTTTCTAAAGAAAGAACAAAAAACAAAAAACAAAACAAAAAAGAAAGGCTGAATATTCACAATGGAGTTCAAAAGGAATTTTATCATGAAGGCACTCTGGCTAAAGGTGGACTGAAATGCCTTCTTAAAATAAATAAATCAATCAAACTGAGACCCCCAAATCATTAACACAACATATATGTTGAGTTAAAAAGAACAGAGAAATTAATTTTAAAAATAAACGAAATGACTTTTTACTTGCCAAGCTCTGAGTTCATGGATCTGCATTTCCACTACCAGGCTTAAACATGTCACGAACATGTAAACAGCCCCGAGATCCACACTTCTACTATTGTGTTAGGCCACAATCCTGCAACTAAAGAAAAACCTTACGCTCATGAGAAGTCTCACTGACTTCAGTAGAATTCTGGTCTACGTGCTGCTTTACAGGACAAGATCTGTGGCATGTGATGTTATCAGCTGTAATATGGGACACGAAGAACCCTGAACTCAGCACTGGCAATCAGGGAGAACCTGATTTTCAAATATTGTGTTTTATAATCTTATATCTCTGCATTTTTTACATATATACCCTGCTAATTTCCTGGGTTCTTAAAACAGTCTTTTATATTTTTCCCCAAAGCATTTCTCCTTTTAAATTAAGGGAAACAATTTACAAATATATCAGAGGAAAACAAATACAAATACCATAGGTTCATTAATAAGAGAAGTGGGAGACAGGAAATTGACAATGATTCTAAAAAGCTACTGAACATTTTTTTAATAACAAGGAAAAAAGATGAAAAGTGTACAGACAGTAAGAAAAAAATTAAGAATGCTTTTAAAAAAAATGATCTATACCAATTCAATGGGTCTGGATGGTCTGCAACGCGGATTACTAAATGAATTATTTGCTAACAAATGTACTGAGCTACTGATATTGTTACGAAGCCAAGGAAAACTGGAGAAACACCTGAGTATTGGGGGACACAAATAGGACACTAACTTTCCCAAAAAAGAGGAAAGGACAATCCTGGTAATTATTCACTGAAAAACCTAACTTAAATCACTGTTCAAATAACCAAACAACTCTCAAAGAGGAAAATAATCTGTAAACACCTACAGGATGATGGAACTTCAAGCAATAACTAGCATGGGTTTATAAAAAACAAATCATGCCACACAAACATGGTTGCTTTCTTCAATTAAATGTTAAAACTTAGAGGGAAAACATAATGCAGGATCCTTTACTCAAAGAAATTGGATATAGAAAAAAATATCTATTAGGCCACCTAGTGCATCCTCTGGTAAGACAAGACTGTTCCCTACCATATTTTGTCTAGAGCTTAACTCAGTGTAATTTTTAATGTTCTGAGCAATATGGGTTCCACAACTTCCCTTAGGAGAATATTCCACAGTCTTGTACCTCTTGCTGTCAGGAAAGTTTTCTTGATAATCAATTAGAATTTCCCTTTCTTTATTTTATCACAATACTCCTAATTAATAACTCTTTGTATCTCCCTAAATAATTTGTGGTGTGTACGCCACATATCGGCAGACAGTTATCATGTCCCACCCCACAAAGCTCTAGTTGTTAGTCAGACAAATTAAACATTAACAAAAGCTTTTCATCTTTCCTCATAATTAAAGCCCTTCAGCCTCCTATTCCTTTCAGTTACTCTTTTCTGTACTCTATCCAACTTGTCAGTATCTTTACTTTCTGGCAATATTTCATAAGAAAATATCTTCCACGTCCGATAGCAGAAGAGATTATATCATTCTAGATGTTTAGTGATTTTTTTTCCTAATATTTGTTCCATTGTTTTACTAGGTTTACTGGGCAGCTATTGTCAGAAACACCCTTCTTTCTTTTTCTGAAGGCTTGTACCACAGCTGTATTTCTCCATTATTTTAGTGCCTCCCATTTCTCCGTAGCTTTTCAAAAATAATGAATAATGGTTTGGTAAGTTCATTAGCTAATTACTCTGACACCATAAACGAGTATCATTCTATCAATGTTAAGATAACTATTAATTATTAAATTACTAGGGCAATTGCTCTTTTTCTTTTTACTTAAAAGTCTTAGCGGACTGAGTATCCTCATGAAGGCACTGTACATTGGGTATTTCTTTTTCTTTGGAAAGTAACATATTAAGCCTTATTTAGGTCATCCAGACTGGTGGATCTTAAAATCCCTTTCTACCACTTCTTATTCACTAGGGGCCTGATCCTACAATGAGCTTTACACAGGCAGACCCCCAAAGGCTCACACAGAGTTCATTGCAGGATAAGTACCTTAATTTTGCAGTTTTCCAAAATGTACCTTGCAGAAGTCTAAAACCCTCTACTGCTCAGCAAAACCATTAATTACTCTGCTAAATTGAAGTAGCTCATGGTCCATGGTACCAAGCTCCCCTATTAATTTTCACAATCTCATTAAGTTCCCCATTATTGATAAGAACTAAATCCAGGATTACTTCTCTAGTTGGATATTCTACTTTCTGACTCAAAGTTATCTTCCACCTAACTCAGGAAACTCTTTGATTATGTACATTCGATGTTTGTTGTTCCAAACAAACATTTACATCACCTGTGGGTTTCCCCATTCCTTGCTTTCACCACACAATCTGATGGGTGTAAACCTGAAGAAGGTTTAGTTTTGGGGTGGTTTTTTTTGTCCTTCTGGTTTAGGATGACATAATGGGTATAACTAGATGAAAGTGAACAACAGAAAATTTGGCTGAACATCAGGAAAGATTCCCTAAAGATGATCTCTGTTAGATCATGGAAAAATTCCCAAAGGAAATGGTGAAAGCTCCATCATGCAAGACATTTAAAATTAGATGGACAAAGCATTTAAGAATATACCACAGAGAACAATGCTGCCCTGGCTGGGGAATAGCCAAGATGACCCAATTAGGTCTTTGTTATCTCTAATGTCTCCAGTTCTCAATCATTTTCCTAATATCAGCCATTCACAAAGCAGCATTCAAGCAGGTAAAAGAGAAAAAGTGAAAGAAATTGCTCTGTTTCTTGAAAGTCGGCAGGTCCCATAGGGTGGTGCGTCAAAGCCTCCCGCAGCCTTTCACTGTTGGAGCCTGGGTCTGTGGCTTTGAGTCTGTCACCTTCCAAAGGTGCGTCATGCTGCTATCAGAAACAGCTAGTGTCTTACTGACTTCTTTGATGTGTCACGTCAAGAGAGGCTAGCAACTGCCAGGGGGTCCACTCTGCTAAGCCCTGCCAAACCAATTTAAACCAAAATTATTCTAACTTCTTTCACTGCAGTGGTAATCTTAGCCCTCTCTTTTGACCAGAATTTGCTGGAGAAAAATAATCAAGGGCATATGTATGGGTGCTGCACTTTATCAGCACTCAAGCCAGATCTTTCTGAAGACTAAAAGGCTCAATTCCAGTTTAGTTTCCTGGTCAGTGAAGTTTTCCCTAAGCAGTAGTCTACAAAATCACCACTCTGCTTAATGTTTTAATAAGGCATATTCAATCACTTGAGACCAGATCACTACACTAAAAATGGCCAAATCTGATAGACAGCATCCGATAGAACATAGCTATTTAGAGCAATTCCTTGCCCCATCACAGCAAAATTACAGTAGGAGCTAACACTCTGGTGTTATTACAAAAAAAGCCCCAAGTCTGTTATGTTGTTAAACATCCTCCCACTGATATGTGATCTCAGACATTAGTGCACATGCGTGGTTGGTAACTGGGAATCTGTATTCCTACCTGCTACGGCACTCTGAGCCTGATCCAAAATCTATTGAGGTCAATGGACAAACCCACTATTTGGAATGTTAGACTTTCCTAAAACTGTGATGTGGTTTTTGCCTTTAAAAGACAAAAAAAATTATGTATACATGGATTTGATCAGTTCTATTCATGATTCTACCTTGTTAATGATACATTGCACTCATTCATGATGAATTTCAAGTATTATGTTAGTCCAATGACATCATAATGCATACTCTGTGCACAATCTTCCCGCAAAAGCATTTGAGTAAAATCCTTACAAATGCTTTTTGATTATAGTGAGGGGACAGGGATGTTCCCCATATGTTCCAAATGGAGTTTCTTCGCTTTCTTATTGCAAAAATGTCTGCATCTAGAAACTTCAAACTTGGCTTGTTTTATAGTTCTCCCTGAGGAAAGAAAAGCATTCAAGTTTGAAGAAAACTGATTTAGTATTTTAGGAGTCATAAAAGTTTCAATTCAGCTTGTTCTCTCTCTCCCTTACACAGACACATACAGATGTTTTTACACACTGTGACGGGGTGTGCATATCACACACAGGACAAGAGAGGGTCAATCCCATGCTATGGGCACGGGAGTCCCACCACTCAGACCATTCTGGGCATGCTCCAACTGCTGCCTCAGTATAAAAGGGAGCAGCCCAGCTCATTCTAGGCTGAATGCCGTGGAGGGGAAGGACTTTTGGCAGAGACTCCAGCTGAAGAGCCGTCACATCCCTTGCCTGCGGGACCTGGAGATCCTGAGAGTCGGACTGGAGGTCTATGGCCAAAGGAGCCCCAGGGAATCCTCCATGCTGAGGAGCCCAGAGACCCTGATGCCCCAGGGATTGCAGCTTCTGGAAGCACAGTAGGAAATGACCCAGGGTGGGTGCACGAGTGGTATCTCCTACTTGAGTGACAGCTGCGTGATTTGATGGGATTCCCTGCTGACCCAGTAGTGGACCACTCCACCACTGTTGGGGCCCGGTGGAGTCAGGTGCACCCGGGCCCCCCTATCCAGGTACTGGCTGATAGGTCACATTGCCCTGACTACAATGGCTACTGTAATGGACTCTGGCCGCTAGGCCGCGCTGCCCTGAATGCAAGGGCCATTGTAATTGACTCTGGTCACTAGGCCGTGCTGCCCTGAATGCAAGGGCCATTGTAATTGATTCTGGTCACTAGGCCGTGCTGCCCTGAATGCAAGGGCCGCTGTAATTGACACTGGCCACCAGGCTGCACTGCCCTGACTCCAAGGGCAGCCATATTGTCTCTGACCTCT